GGCACCCCCTGCCTGGCCGCCTGCGCCCCGGGGAGGCTGCCCGCGCGCGACGGGACCAGCAGCATGAGCAGCGGCTACAGCAGCCTGGAGGAGGACGCTGAGGACTTCTTCTTCACCGCCAGGACCTCCTTCTTCAGGAGAGCGCCCCAGGGCAAGCCCCGCTCCGGCCAGCAAGTGAGTGGTGCGCGCGGCTGGACCCCGACGCCACGTGTCTCCGCGGGGCGAGGATGCTCGCAGGGAAGGAGGGGGCCGCCGAGAGGTGGCTTCTACCTCTTTGGATGCTGGGGTCGTGCCTTGAGCTAGTGCATGTGGGCGTGCGGGCTTGCGTTGGGGGCGCCCCAGGCGAGGAAAGGAGAAAGGGCGGGGAGGCTGAGGCCGGCCCCTGCCTTCCGTGCCAGATGGCCTCTGCGGCTCCGCCTCGGCGGCCGGCTGCTGGGGAGCTCTTCTCAGCGAGGAGGCGTCCCCGGGCCACTCCCGGCGTTTCTCCTGCGTGCTAGGACTCACTTCGTGCCCCCCAGGGTCAACGGCCGCGTCCTCGCTCTGGCCCTTTTTATTGGTCAGTTCAATGGCCTGTGGCCCCTTGAACGGCTTAAGGGGCCGCGTAATAGCCAGGCGTGGCCGTGGTGACCTGGCCTCTTCCACCTTTCGGGTCCAGGCGCCTCATCTGTGTGTTGGGGGGGATCGCTGAGAAACGCGGGGCCTGATGATAGCAGGCGCTCACTAAATCTTTACTGCGAGAGTCAAGGTGGTGCGTTTCCTGTAAAGTCAAGTTTATAGGCGCCTTGAATGTTTGGCGCATAAGTTCCGGTACTAGGTAAATACTAGCGGGCGATAGCTGAGCCTTAGGCCGGTTTCTTCCTTTTTTGGAGGAAGCATTCTGTGGGAAGCATGACTTGAGAAGAGATGGGAAGAGAACTTGGGCCAATTTCGCTGACCGTGACCGTGTTTTTCAGGGAGGCTTTCCCCAAAAGGGACACTTGGGCTGGACTTCTAAGTCTGGCGCTTGAGCCCCGCGGCCTCCTGGTCCTGGAGCCACACCAGGAAGCCTTGCCAATCCAGCCAGGCTCACATCAGATTAGGGAAGGCTGTAATGGAACAAATTGGTTGCTCTTAAAAAAAAAAAAAACAACAGGCGCGCACCAACATTGCTGTCAGATTTAGTCCTGGAGACTAGAAGCAAGGAAAATCGTTCAGGGCCGGATGATGAGTTTTGGGAGGGGTGAGGACAAGTAATGTGCTAGGATTTCCTTGCCAGACCTTTTAAGTTTCTTTAACCACTTTCTGAGGTCAAATTTCTTTCTTTTCTTTTCTTTTTTCATTCGGAAGTTCTAGTCTTTTAAAACCTCTTAACTCCCAAACCAGAAGAAGGGGGAGAGGAACAGCGAAGGGCAAGAATGAAGTCAGGTGCCTTTATTCAGTAGCAGGTGACCCTGAGTGAAGTCCAGATGATACTGAGTGAAGTGTTCCCCTCTTTATTGTTTCTAGGTCTTAAGGCTGCACTATTTTAACATTCACTTCAAGAGATGTCTTAGTCATTTGGGTCTGCTGTAACAAATACCATGGACTTAATGACTTAAATGAATATTTATTTCTCACAGTTCCGGAGACTGGAAGTCAAAGATCTGGGTGCCCTCGTGGCTGGGTTCTGGCGAGGACCCCTTCCTTGACTTTCTGCAGTGTCCTTGCATGGAATAAGGGCTACCTCTCTTTGTCTTATAAGGACACTAATCCCATAATGGGGGCCACCCTCTTGAGCTATTACCTCCCACAGTCTCCACCTCCAAATACTATCCCTTTAGGGCTTCATCATGTGAATTTTGAGGGGTCGCAAACATTCAGTCCATAGCAATTTTCATTAGGGTGTATTCTAATGGTGAGAGTTTGTCGTGAAGTTTGGAAATTAGAAATACCCTGCTTCCCCCCACTGGTTATGGAAGAATTTCATTTTCTTATGCTTTTTTCACTTTTCTTTTTTTCTTGGCCTTCCCCTTCTTTCCATTTTCCACTTTGTATTTTCTCCTTCCACTTATGTTGCTCTTACCATTTTACACTTTGACGGAAGCTTGTCAGAGATGGTTGTGCTGGTTTGAAGTCTATTCCAGAGGTGGCTAGTAATCTCCAGAAACGTACTGATTCTTGGATTATCCAGGTGTGAGGTGCTCCTTCACAAGGGCCAAAATAGGTTGGAATGGTCTGAGAATGCTTTAGTGCTTTAAGAAGTAAAAACGTACTTTTTTCTTGGTTTATACATGTGTAATGTTTGTGTTATACTCATTTATATAATATTCATCTAGCATATATATTATACTCATTTAGCATTTAGATTTAATCTCACATTAATATGTATTTTGAATGATTGTGCTGAAAATCAGGATAGTAAGCCCTAGTTCTTTGCTTGAAGAATTTAATATGTATTCTGAAGGTTCATTGCTTCTGTATTTCCCCTTCTAATATAACACATGCTAAGTGCTGAATTATAGGACTTGTTTGTAGGTGGAGAAAATGCTCCACACTCTGAATTTTAGTAGGTATTTTAGTTTATTTAAAGAGTTGATTGAGTCTGTTACATTCCTGATAAGATTTGTGAGTTAAGAAGGTAGAATTTATAAATATAAAGCAAGGCACTCTTATAGAACATTTTTTACCTAAGGTTAGATAAGCCTTTTTCATTTTTGTAAGCTGGTGATTCTAAGAATAAGGTATGTACTCTGACATAAAGTGTGGTAGTGAAATTTATCTTTTCTCTAGAGAGGTGGAAAGAGAGGCGTTGCCATAAAGATCTATTATGGATAATAGTGATTTTTTTGGTGCTGAACCACCTGGTGGGAAAGCCAGGAAAATGTAGTTTCTAGAACTCTTGAAAATATCCAGAGAAAGCAAGATGTTTGTGGTAAATGGAGGATGGGGAGAGGAGGGAGCGGGTGAGAAATTTCTTTTTTCTCTTGCCAGGCAAAGGAACATAGCCCAACTTTTTTCTGTCTCCAACAATAACAGAAATTTTACAGATAGAACGCAACTGTTATCTTGGTTCTTATTTTATGTTGATACCCTCTTTTTTTTTTTTTTTTTAAAGAAAAGGGTTAAAAATTTGTATGGTGGTTGGTTATAAAGGGAATGAACACATGGCCCGTTTGTGCAGTTTGAATGTCATGTTGATTGCTGTATTCCCAGGGTTCTGCTTAGTACCTGACACACAGTGGTTGGTCATTGAATACAGTATTAGTTGAATGAATGAATGCTTTCCTGGTTTGATAGTAATTGACTCTTTACAGGGTTTAAGTGTACCCTATCTTATTCTCCCAAGAACTTTCCGGAGCATTAACCTAATGAAAAGTAAGGCCTTGTTAAGTGGTTTGACTAAGGTGCCACACTTAGGAGAAAGGCTGGAACTCCAGTTTTCTTACACAAATTCCACTTTTCTTTTTGTTACTTCTTGGCTATAAAATAATTTAAAATTTTGATTTTCCTGTTGCAAATATGGACATCTATAGTTTAGGAGTTTCTTAAGAAAGTGTTGACCCCTGCCCCCTTTCTGCATGTATCTTTATTATAGTATTTGTAATTCATACTTGCGGGTTCACTATATTGTTTCAAGCAGAACCATGAATGTGGGCGGTTTTGTAATTCATAATTCTCCTTTCCTGATTTTCCAACAAAATCAAACTACCTAAAAATACAGGACCTGTTATTTAGACTTCTAAGAGTAGAAATGGACTAAAATTATTAATCTTTTGGAGCGTGTCTTCCCCCATATCTAAGGTGATCACTTTTCTTCCTGAGCGTTTGGTAGTTAATAGGAATAAGAAAATGGGACACTTGTTTTTCTTTAGAAGTATATTATCCAAGAGTTCTTGAAAAACTTGAAATTATCTTCTGAACCACTCACACTTTTCAAAAATTTATACTGAAAAATTGTTTAAGAAGGCAAGTCTCCACATAAGACTTCACATAACAGGCCTCAAGCTGGCCCTTTGGATTCTCTCATTATTGTAATTTAAATATTTTTATGGCTCTCTGGTACTGTGTTTTATTGCTAGAATCAGCAGTAATGAGTTACCCTACTGTATTCAGTGTTTCCATGGGGGCAAAAGAATGTTTACAACATTGAAAGTATTTCGGCTATACTAACATTTTACACTAACTTTTAATCTCTATGTCATTATCATTTTTCCCATTTCCGATTTTATTTATTTGGGTCCTCTCTTTTTCTCGATGAGTCTGGTTAAAGGTTTATCAACTTCATTTTTCTTTTCAAAGAACCAACTCTTGTTTCAAACTACCAAGATTTTTTGTATTATCTTTTTAGACTCTAATTTATTTCCACTCTAATCTTTATTATTTCCATCTTACTCACTTTGGGCTTTGTTTGTTCAGTTTCTAGTTACTTTAGGTGTAAGGATAGATTGTTTATTGGAGATTTTTCTTGTTCTTTGAGGTAGGCTTGTATTGCTATAAATTTCCCTCTTGGAACTGCTTTGACTGTGACCAATAGATTTTTGGGTGGTGTTTTTATTTTCATTTGTCTCAAGGTATATTTTGATTTCTTCTTTGATCTCATTGTTAACCCATTTATTGTTTAGTAGCATGTTATTTAGCCTCCACATGTTTGTGTGTTTTTCAGTTTTCTTCTTGTAATTGATTTCTAGTTTTATACCATTGTGATCAGGAAAGATGTTCAGTATGATTTCAATCTTAAATTTGTTGAGACTTTTTCTGTGGCTTAACTTGTTTTGTGGTCTATCTTGGAAAATGTTTCATATGCGCTTGAAAAAAATGTATATTCTGCCGCTTTGGTGTGAAGTGTTCTAAAAATCTGGGTTAATGTGTCATTTAAGGCCACTGTTTTCTTATTCATTTCTTGTCTGTATGATCTATTGATTGATGACAATGGGGTGTTAAAGTCACCTACTATTGTTGTATTAACAGTTAATCTCTCCCTTTATGCCCGCCAATAGTTGCTTTATATATTTAGGCCTGCCCATGTTGGGTGCATAAATGTTTACAAGGGTTACATCCTCTTGTTGGGTTGATCCTTTTGTCATTATGAAATGTCCTTTGTCTCTTGTTACAGCCTTCGTTTTAAAATCTATCTTGTCCGATACAAGTATTGCTACCTGATACAAGTATTGCTACCCCAGCTTTTTTTTGTTTCCATTTACATGAACTATCTTCTC